GGTTAGTAGTTGAATTTTCAGCGGGGTTAATTTTAGAGCTGCAACAGTTACATGGGGAAACAGCTGAAAGCAAGCAGGGGTTTTGAGCGGTTTCTTTTGCATGTAATGTAGTGCATGTTTGCTTTCTTTTCTATGTCATGCCAAAAAAAATTCACTTTGTAACAACTGATGCATTTAGCGTTATGGTGAGCACTCGCGGAAGCGAGTGAACGCACAGGCTGGACCCAGGTGGTAGGTAGGTGCGATACTGATCATAAACCTTATTGCACAGAGAAAACAAGTTTTGGACATTACAGTCAATGTGCTGGTAATGTCCGCCAGAGGAGGGAGAGCTCGAGGGGGTCGCAGATGGGGAGCTGGAGGCGGCAATGCAGGGCAGAGGAGGAAACGAAGACTAGCTGAGACAGGTGAGTGTAGCCAGCGAACTCAGGTGGGGTAGAGCGGAGAAGGCTGGGCTTGAAGATGGAGAGGAGAGAACTGGCAGCAGGTCACTCAGGCAGAGGCAGACCGGAGAGAGTCAGAGGTGCAGAAAGCTGGAGTAATGACGGGAAACCAAGGAGTATAGGCAGAAGAGTGAGGAGGAGTAAAATAGTCTTGCTTGAGTGGCGTGATACTGGGTTTCTCGATGGAGATATAGCGTTGCTTCTCGTATAACGTGGCCGGAGAATGAGCAGAAAATCCTCAATGTACTGACTAGGAGTAATTGTGCGCCATCGCCTTAAATACCGGCGTCGGTGATGGAAAACCTGCCTCACCTGTGTGGTACCTCGGAAGCCGCTGATGAGACGATGCGCCTCAGCTGTGCCCACCGCGAGAGCCAGGACCTATACCAGAGAACGAGAACGGGAGTGAGAAAAGAAAAGGGGGGAGAGGCAGGTGGTGTCGAGCGACCCTGACATTTAGCTCTTCTTTTAAATTTAAGTTGAATCCTATGCAGTCAGAGGAGGCATTGTAGAGTGTCAAACCACTGTGGCGACACACAGTGACAGATGATTTTGGCTGAGTCCAGATCAGTTAATAACCACACACTGTGTCTCACGCTACTATCTACAGTATCTTCACATGTATTGTTTTGTTGTGTTGCGTTTAGATACTAGTAATTAATGATTGAGCTATATTATAGTCTTTTTGCGTGTCTTGGCACTTGGATGACCCCTGATGGTTCAGACTGAACCCAAGCTGCTCTCATTGACTCTATAAATGTAAACGAGGCCTACAGGCACTTCAAACATCATGAGACAGTTGAGAGTTGAACTAAGTGAAATTGGTGTTATGATGACAGTAACAAAGGATAACTTTGTTACTAAAACAACACATTAATGAGGATTGAACTGGAAATTACATGACAGTCATAGAAAAGTATTATTTTATGTGCCCATAAAATCAAGCAACACCCTAATTCTAATGTGTTGCAGTTGGTTTCTCTCACAAAATGTGAGAACAATGTAGTAGGTTGTGCCTTCATAACAGAGAACTGGCCCTTGATCATTTCATTTTTAAAATGTGCTTAATGTTCTCTTTTATTGTATTTGATTAGAGCCACTTATGCTTTTTTATAAGTTAGGTTTTTATCAGTCACCATAATATTTGCGGTGCGACCTTCTAAGTAAACAAAATGTCTATGCAAATAATTTCTGTGAATTTGCTCATTGAGTAGTATATAATCATGTACTGATAACAGAAAGGTGCTCTTAGTTGCACAAAATGCACCTTGAATGTTCTTTGTCTGTTGTAGATCCTGTAATAATTTACAGTAAATTATGTCACCTGAGTGTTAAGTGTTTGATTACAGATGGTGTTGATAAAAGGCAGCTGTCAGGAGCACTGCATTTGATTTTGATTTTTTTTTTTATTTGATTTATTCTTTCAAACATGCAGAACAAACGACATCAACACACACATAATTATACAAATCCAACCAATGCTGATTCAGAATCAGTTTGCTTATACCTAGTACATGTTTGAATGGAGTAGGAAGAAGTCAGACTTATCCAGTCCTACCCCATAACATCATCTTATACAAAAAATTTCATGCATCATTGGCTGCAAGCAGTATCTCTACATAGGTGATTCTCTTCTGCACCAGACAAGTAAAACACTGAAAATTTAAAACAGAGTGTTTCCTTCATGCATTCTTGATTAAAT